TTGTGCAATTGGAGTGCGTCACATATTGTTAAGTGAGGGGCTGAGTTCTGCACATCTGGCTATTTATGTGGCTGCTGAAAGATGTTTAGGTCACACGCTGTCCTCCTCATTGTCTCTTATTTCTATGATTAACGAAGCACTTTTATACTAATAAAGGACTGGATTACCTAAAGCCAGTTGAGTAGCACTTGAAATGTTTGGCTCTATGCAACCTGATGTACTTATATGATTCTGTTTTCTTCAAGGTTGTGTCTTCCTGGTCGAATGCACTTATTGTAAGTCGCTTTGGATAAAAGCGTCAGCTAAATGTAATGTAATGTAATGTAATTTCCTTTCACTTTATAAAGATGAACAAGGACACTAGACATTCATGGTGAAGGCCTATTCTTTTGAATGTGCATCATGCTCATAGTCAGAATTGTAGTTAATGCTGTAAAGTTTCCTTACTGAAAAAGCATGGTGATGAGTGTTGCTGGACTGTGTGCTGCAGAAAGCAAATCACTAATGCAGTACAGAGGCAAACATCAAAGAGAGCCATTCAGAAAGCAAAATGCTGATGAGTTGTGTGAACACAACGGTTAACATTGTGTGCCATAGTTTTCTGTTTGATGTGAGCGGAACATGGACGGTTATTTGAATGTGCACCAGCTAAAATGTGCAAAATAATATTACCTGCGTAAGAGCAAAGAAAACACAATCTGCTGACTGTAACAAGACCAAGGGAAAACAATGATAGCACACATTATATAAAAACTCATAATTTTGTTCACTGCTAGAATTATGATGGGAAATGCAGGCCAAATACTTTCCCCTCCACTGCTGCTTAATACTGTCAACTCTTAGGAGTTTATATAGCTGAGAGTACAAATCTGTACCGTGTCAGTACTGATATGATTGCAGTCACACATCTATCAAAGTTGGCACATTCAGATTGTTTTGATCACCTGCCTTAGAGTCACATTAGCTCAGTGAGCCGGCACGCAAAGCTCCGATCAACACCTGACAACCTCAACTACTGTAACTGTCACTGGTTATTGAGTTAAACATACAGCAGCAGTTGTGTGTGGAAACACAAATATCTGAGCACCGCCGTCCTCATTATTGTATGGCGAGCATGAGCCAATTAAATTGACCCAGTTTTACATGAGAGAATCCTTTAGGTAGCACGGTTCTCTCTGCCTCTGTACCCTCTGCAGGGGTCTTTCTGCGTGTTTGTGGCAAACAGAGTGGACCGGATCAATTAGGCTCCCACACATTATAGGTATCCGTCAGCCTAACAAATTAAACCGTTCAGAATACTGGGGGCAATTCACCAGTTTGAGTCAGAGAAGATAAATGCAGGCTCTGGGAGGTTTCTCAGCACCAGAGTTCCGGTGACGCGGAAGAACGACGGCTAACGTTTTTACTAGAGGTGCACCGAATGGGAAATTCTTGGCCGAAACCGATACCGAAAATAGGAAACAGTTGGCCGAAAACCGAATGCCGAAAGGCCGAAAATGATTAATAGAAATATATATATATGATGTATACATTTTTTACCAATGTTGTTCAGCTACCTGATTATGGAAATAGACATGATTATGGCAAAACTTAACTTAAATAATAATCACTATTATGGGTCCATAAAACATTTATTCAGCACTTTTGAATGCATACAGTACATTTATATATGTCATGTATTATTGCTAAAAAACATGATATCGCAGTCTTAGTGTCGCCAACTCGTTTCTAATATGCAAAGACAACAAATCCGTCTATGATGTATTTTCGATCAGACGAGATCTCTCTCCCCCGTCTGTGTGCGAGGGGGCGGGGCAGTTTACACACACGCAGCTGCTACATGCAGCGGAGCACACTGCGGAGATGGCGGAGAGAACGCGCTCCGAGGTGTGGTTAAACGTTACCCGTCTCGATGTGGACAATACTTGTTACCATAAGTGCAATAAGAGTTTAGCATGTAAGCACGAGCAATTTGTCTAAACATTTAGCAAGTGCACCGCATGCAGACGGAGGAATGTACCGGGTTCGACCGTCTTTCTAGCAGCTCTGTAGCCCCATCACGAGTAACGTTTCCACGTCAGGTGTTATGTATGCTAGCAGCAACACACGGAGTTAACTACATGATACAAACGTGGGTTAATGATTAGAGGAAACTGAGTTATTTAGTTTGTTAAAATTTCAGCTATTCTGTTTACAGTCTGTCATCAGATTATTTAATACGATTTGTTAAAGGCTCAGGGCAATCTCGATGACAAAGGTCAATGTCCCCCCCCCCCCCCTGTGAGCCAGCCGCGAGCATGGTCGCCGCGTCTTTATTACGTCATCACAACAACACGTTCGGTGATATTTTTTCGGTGCTAAAACCGAAAGGGCCTTTTTAACCATTTTCGGCCGATAATTTTCGGTGGCCGAATATTCGGTGCATCCCTAGTTTTTACTTTGAATATTATGTAGCCTTTTTTAGCCTGCAGGAGGAAATAAAACATTGTCACTTATAGAACAATACAAATGTGGATTATAACTTTCTTTACAACTGTGTGTGAAAACAGACTTTTTTAGTTCTCAGAGTGTCATTCAGTTGATGACAACCTATTTTTCTAAAAACAAATAAAAAAACAATATAAGAAAAGCTCCTTCAAAACAACTCTATTAACACACAACTTTGCTATTGAGAAATACGTCAAAGGCACTGGATTGATGGTTTAAGTCTTTGACTTTGATTTGTGCTCTTCCAGATATCTCACAGATCTCTAGATGACGGAGACTCTTTAGAGCATCTGCTGAATCTTTGCACTAATAGTTCATTCTCATGCAGCTCTCTGCCTTAAATGCTGTTTGCTCCAAAGCTGGACGACGACAAGCAATTTCTTGTTATGTTAATCGTGCGGCACATAATCAGAATTACACTAAGCTCTGTGAGTTATTCTGTGAAAATGGATACAGCTGACTCACAAACATCAGCTTACACCAGAGTCAAGTGGCACCTGTCTCATTACAAACCAGCCGTCACTGAACACTATCAGCTGAGGACATGGCAATATTTTAATAGCCTATGGCCAAAGAGAAAGGCACGCCAACAAGAGGGTAATGCAGTCGGTGCTAACCAACGTCCGACTGCAGGGAGTCAAGACACCTTGTTGCTCAGTGTCCTCAGGCCAGTTTGAGCTATCTGATGGGCAGCGGTAATGCCTTTTCAACTCAAATGTGATTTATTGCTTTCAGTGGTTATAAATTGTACATCTGTGTCAGTGTTATCAATATTTAAGAGATTCTGCACGGTGTTAAGTATTAACAGATCTATTTTAGCGTGTAAAGCCAATGAATTGATGTGCTTTATTAATACCAGATGGGTTTACTTTGCACATGTGGAGTCGAACAGACTAGCGATACGGTTTTGTGCTGCAGTTTATTTATTGTCACCTATAAGGACATTTCTGACGGGTAGGATTGTTGCTGTTTTTTTAATAGGCTTAGCTGCTGTCAGAAATGTGAAAATCTATCAAGTTGCTCGTCAGTGAGATGCAAACTGAATTCCTTCATTTGTTTCATTCCATTAAGCAGTGGCACCCAATCAAAGGACGGCAGATGTAATGTTACAGCAGAGTGGTTTCTGTCCAGAAGTCTATGAAAACAGCACCTATTTTAAGGCAGATGTCCTCTGCATTGTTCATGGACAGCAAACATCCTTTCTAAGTAATTTCAGCACTCAAAAGTAAGTTGGATATAAAATCCCATTTCCTGTCTTCTCCAATGTTGTTCCTTAGCGAAACCTCAGTTTGAACCAAACAAACCCTGACATAAAAGACACAAGCTGTACCAATCTCTGGTTTCCACAATGGATGAAAGCCAACATCTGGTAAGAAATGATGCAGAAGCAGTTGACAGAAACAAGGTAGGCTAAGTCAGAAAATACCTTAAGGGCTTCTTTCACTATAAAGATTAGGAGGAAAACGTAATGAATCTTGTAAATCTGTATATGTTTTTGGGATTATGTAAAGTAATAGCCTCTGGCTGGCTCTAATTTTGGCTCCAAATAATGTTGTTATACTTTACACCAAAAAAAAACCTCTCTTATTATCCAACAACTGTCACTTGATGAGCCATTATGTGATTTTTTTTGGGTTATCAATGCATTAATTGCCATTGAGAGGCACATACAAGCTATACAAGTAAATGACCAACAATGGGTGCAGATGTTGAAACCATGAGCCATAAGTGACCCTAAATGTGACAGCAGAGATGTCTCCTCCAGAATTGTTTTAAATGACATCCTTCTGCTTCAGGTTGACTGATGCTTTAAATGTTATTTCCAACCTCACAAGGGACAATAGCCATCAAATAAGCAAATCACTTCCTTAACATTTATTTCAGAGCATTCAACAACAACATTATTCCCTTTTAAGATGACGAGTAGAGTAGCATTGTGTGCTCAAAGGGGACCTCTGGTAAAACAGCAAGTCACAACAATAAAAATTACATATTTCATGAATTGTCCGCATGCTTGTTCCTGCACTTGAATATAAAATGTGGCTGCAGAAATAATGGAGAAGGAGAAAGTGAAGCTTTTATTAGCCATTTCAGATGCCAATGTGTCAATCTGAAAAGGCTAACACATTTCCACTTTCCAATTTAAATCTGGTGTCAATGTGTTAAAGGCATAGACTGTATATATAAAAAAGGTTAAGGTTAAAGGTCATACCGCTACTGTACACAGTACTTTGTCTTGTATTGTAATGCTGACTTAATTGATAACAAGTATCCCTACAAATGACAGCCAGTTAAATAAGCTTCCATTTTAGACTTGTTGATGTTTTTTGACTTGCCAATTGGTTCAAAAGTTTGAGAACAGGAAAAAGCTTAAAATAGGTCAAAAAACACTTTGTCGTTTGAAATATACCCGTTTCACTTTATGTGAAAGGCTACTTACACACTGTCACTCACAGGCAGCCACTTTCAGCAGCACGTGGCTTAATATCCTTCGAGAGAATTAATTAGCTTACCTTGAAATATCCATATTAACATCAGCGTAGCTCGAAGTCTTGTCTTTATCTCCATGGCACAACATCCACCGGCTGCTCCAGCACACAGGAGCTTCTTCAAAGTTGGTACCAAAAACTGCTTTCGCTCTTAAACGGCTGCTTAATTTCTCTTCTGGTTACAATTAAGCGCGCGCTGCAAGAACCAGTGAGGTAACGTGTGTAAGTGAAGCTTCGTCTCCTTACAATCCCGCCTGCAAACTGCGTCTGACATCGCGGGCGGAACCGGTGGCCCCTGTCACCTTCACTTTACAAACCACTAGAACATTTTCGAGGTTTCTTTCTCTTTCCCTGTTGAATCCAACCTGCCCCACTTTCTCAGATTGAGAGCGTTTCGCTTGTGCCGCTCACTCAGTAAACTGTAGGGGCTTATCCACCTGCCAGTCTCCAGCCGCTCGGTGACGCCCCCTGGTAAAAAAAACTCAACTGCAGCTCATCAATGGACAAATGTGTGTCCTTTGGGAAAGAGTTAACATGTTGAATTGTTTTTTTTTTTTACTTGACAGAGTTAAACAATTATAGCAGTTAACATTGGCAGTGTGAGTGTTTGTGCCTATAAACTTTCTGCAAAGTGCATTGGGCTTAGAGTACACTATTTAATGACAAATATATGAAAAATAATGCATAGTTTTTCACATCAGTCAAACAGTCAAATAGAAAAAGTTTAACATTGAAAAGCTGTTGTTTTTTATCCCTCATACTGACCATGTTGTTTTGTATGTTTTTATTGTCTTGGCTATAATCCAGTTTGCTCTTGCCTTGTGTGCGAAACACTCATAAGGTACTTTTCCTGAAGCTGAGAGTGCTTTAGTAGGCTATGACTGAAATTATATAATTTATAGTGGAAAATGCAGAAAACCCACCATAAAGGGATATATATAAAAATACACTGTTGAGTTGCATCTTTTAACAAATTGATTTACATATTTAAAGTAAGCTTTACAATATAAAACACTTTTAACTTAAACTAAACACATTTACTGAAATAAATCACTTGATCTAATACAAAAATATACCCATGATATCACTCAATCCAATCGACCAATCAAATGACTCCAAAGGGCAGTTTTATTTGATGTCTTACACCAGCTCTGCTAGAGAAGAGGAGCAATATCCTTCATATTATTTGAGTCAGCAACAGCTCAATATGTGTAATTGGATTTAACGGTATTTAACGGGCAAATGTTGCATTCTATTTTATCTGCAAACATTAATACAATACAAACTCCCTTTACAATGTGCCTATACTTAGGTCCATATAATGTCAACTCAATTATCCTGCATTGCCTGATATATTACAGAGTCTAATTTAGAGCATAATGAAGAGTCAGGTATAAGTCTCCCAGGAACACGCTGTGCAGCCACTTAAACAAGAGCTGCCATGGGATTTTAAATTGTAATGTAAGGCTGAGGTCCCTGCCAGGCTCACAATAAATGGGATGTCAGGTGAAATATTAATGCAGGTGGGTTGATGTGTTGTATTTTTAATGGAATATAATGGATTTATTACGCGATATTAAAGCTTAACATGTTTCTAAAAAGCACAGGCTGCACCTCTGCGTGCATTGGAGTTTGCAAATAAACACGTATGAAGCCACAAGCCTTCATTCAAACACACAAGAGAAGATCCTGTGTTGTTCTTTGTAACTGTTAGTCTTTGACAGGAAGTTATACTCATAACTTATGTATGTTGCTCTCATATTATGGAACCTGCCGTCTTCTTCTATTGTCTACTTGAAACTGTGTACATTGTTTAAATCAAATATGACAGTATTTCTCAGTCTAATGACCAGTTTAATCTTTTATAAACTATACTGCAAGCTGTAAACATACTTGTAATGTGAAGTCAAACATTGCTTTGGTGACTTTAGAAACAGCAAATTAGATTGTTATTATTTAGCAAATAGGGATATTCATAACATGTACTGGGTTTCTATACTTTAACAAGGAATTACACTGTGCTATACGTTTTTTAAACGTTTTTGATTACCTATGTAATAGTTATGGAGTAAATTAATAACATCTGGGAACCAAGATGCATGGGAAAGTAGGGAAAAGGACATCTCCAGTGTTGATGTTGAAATTACATTTTCTAACAGTATTCTGTCATTTTGAATTAGTAAGTGTTTTAAAAAACAATCCTTTGGGATATTACAATTTAAAAAGCTTACATTCATGTTGTGTGACGTTGTTATTTGCAGTCATATGCATGGAAATAATATTGAAAATTAAGACCTATATTCTATTGTATGTCTGGTGGAAGTACTTCCAAGCTGTGAGTAAAACTATATCATTCTTTAGTCCCTATCTTGAATGTTTTTAGAGCAGTATTTGTGTGTAGCAAAAAAACTAAAACATATGTTACCGTCAAAAGCTTAAGGTGTTTTTCTGTGAAGAGGTTTAGATCTTGGACACTTGTACATAAAAAAAAACGTGATGTCACTGCTACAGTATGTGTGAATAATTGATTGCTTAAGTGTAAAGGAAGCAGGGTTATGAAACTGCAAAGCTTGCATGTTCTAGCTTTTCCAACCAGATTTCACATTCAATAAACTACAGTTTCAGTAGGTCAGAGGTTGCAAAAGGAATTCAGAAAAAAAGGTTAGAGACTCCTTCACCGTCTGTCCTTTCATGCAATTGTGCCCATGACTCAACACTGGACAAAGAGATGAGAAATGACTCTGTGGCCAATTTCTTCAGTATCTCTCCTATTTGTGTCCCTTTCAGGTGCTATCTTTATGAGGAAAAACACTCCCAGAAGTCTTCCTGAATACATTCATTGTTAAAGTTGGCGGATATGCTGTTATCTCGCTGCCAGCCGGTGGAAGATGAGCTTAGCCTTGACAGTCTACTGCTCTGACTGGACGTATTTGTAGAGACCATTTCTCCCTCTTTGCTCCACTATATTTGCCAGTGTCTGAAGAAAACACAATAACGGATTACCGGAATTCAAATGCTAAAATGTATTCAACTCTTTTGTGCCATCTAGTGGTGTATAAGTGAAGCACTGGTTCCCTACCTGCTTTTTGATTTGTAGTTGTTGTTGGGCTGCAGGTAAGAAGACTGTAAACAGGTCAGCAGTCCCTCACAGGGCTGATTCAGAATGACAGGCACTCATTCACACTCGTGCTTGTGAACCTGATGGCAGCGCTTCAGTCTTCATGTTTGACCTGCGTGGGTCTGGACAGACAGAGGAAACATCCAGAGGAAATCCTTGTTAGAACATAGGAACATGTGATGTCCTCTTAGCAGGGAATCAAACGTGTCACTGGCTGCTGTTAATTGATTTACAGCATTTTACCAGGGGGCATTACTTTTTTCAAAATGAAAGGTTTGCTTGGTCTAAACCACAACAAATGATCCTAAAATGTAAACAAATGTCAATGTTATTCTACTACTAATGATCTCTCTTAATAAACCCTGTCTTTTCCACCCATTTTTAACAGAAAATCGAAAAAAAGGAAAGCACAGTTTAATGTCACCTGCAGTAGCCTATAGATGTATTTTCTGTAAACATCTGTTGTTTCTGTAAGGCATTATATTCTGTTCTTCATGTCCTTGCCAAATAAAATGATGGCACCACTTGTATTTTAAAGGTCCCATATGTCATGGCCATTTCCACTGATCATAATTCCATTGTTGAGGTCTACTAGCATATATTTATATTGTGCAATTTAATTTCCAAACTCATATTGGTTTCTCATACAGCATCTCTGTAAACTACGTGTATTCACTGAATTTCACTCTCTGCCTTTAACCGCTCGTTGTAGCTCCAATAGCTCCAGCCCCCACTCCGTGGAGGTGTGGTTTCCTTGTTTAGCGATACACATCGAAACACAGCCAAACTCATCCTGACCACACACAAAGTCACGGCCGAAGTAAAAACAATAAGTGTGGCTTGATATTGAGTAAGAAAAAGGTTGATAAACGCTGTGAGAATGGGTCTGCAGAGAGAATTTCGCCGCGATCCCAACTGTTGCCAACTCCATAGTAAGGAAAGTAGCTATTGGCTGTCCGAAAAGTCGCCAGAAGTCCCTAAATGACGTCATCGCCTAATTTGCATATCATGTTATCGCGGTAAAAAAACGTTCTTCCACCCCCTTCAAGGATCAAAACTTGAAACCACCAGAGTAAATCCAGAGGACAGTAGATCAGAAATGTCTCTATTAGAGAAAGTAGAAATAGTTTTAGTAGTTTTTAATAGAAATCTCCCTTACAATAAAGGCAGTATAGATAAGAGTAACAAATGCGTCACTTCCGGGCACAAATAACGTCTCCGCCCACTTTTGGGGGAAAACAACGCTGTCAGTTGAACGGCGGTCAATACAAATTCTGAAGTTTTTGCCAATCCGATCAGAAATGTAAGAAAACTGGAGATTTTTGGATCATCAAAGAGCCCGATTCCAATGGCCAGACAGGCAAGCAATTGCATTAAGCCATTAGAAATCGACGATCGGGCTCGATATATGGTTAAATATAGCAGTAGGCTATCGATTTTCATAGATGAGAGTAACATCTACGTTACTTTACGGCCCCGCCCACTTTTGGGGGAAACAACGCTGAAATCGATCGAGCCTGAAGCCACAGAGCTCTTCTTTTACTGTCCTTTCTTCTTAGAGGAAGTACAGAAACACTGAACTCTGGATTATTTGTAATGTTTGATGTGCAATAAACGACACGGCAGCTTGTTGGCATGATACAACTATTATGTTCCGCCTTGCTCATGAGAGTAACAGCTGGAGAAATTACAGCCTCGCCTACTGATTTTAATTTAACCATATATCAAGACCGATTGTCGATTGCCAATGATCAAATGTAATTGTTTGCCTGTCTGGCCATCGTAATCGGGCTCTTTGAAGATCCAAAAATCGACGGTTTTCAAAAAAATTGGATCGGATTGGCAAAAACTTCAGAATTTGTATTGACCGCCATTCAAATGACAGCGTTGTTTTCCCCCAAAAGTGGGTGGGGCCGTAATTTTTGCCCGGAAGTGACGTAGGTGTTACTCTCATCTATAGTATGCCCGTGTGTCATCTCCAATAAATGGCTTCAACCATCCTTTAAACTCAGGGTTTGATTCCCACTCCTTTCTGTACTTTTGTGAATACAGTTTAGACTGTGACATGATGACCTACGTGGATGTTTAGCTTGTCACAGAGAGGCACACACACAGTGGACGAGGTGATTAAGTGGCTGAAGCTGTCTCGACGCGGGAGTGTGGCTGTCTCCTCTCTGCTTTGACTACAGCTGAGCTGCTGCGGGAGGCAACTGTGAGTCTGCGCGCCTGTGAGTACTATGGGAGGGCTAAGGGGCTCACGGCAGCTCGTTAAATGCA